GTGAACGAAGAAGGTACCGTAGCCGTCGTCCTCCTCGTCCGTGGCGTTGGCCGCGGCGTGGCCTATGATGGGCGCCTGGGGGATGCCGACGTCGGCGCTGTCGCCCTGGGCCCAGGCGCGCCAGGTCTGCTTTGCGCGGGCGTGCTTGGGGGCGAAGTCGCGCGGGCGGTCGGTGGCGGCGGCGGAGTGGTAGCTGCGCGGGGAGGGCATGGGGAGGTTGGTGACGCCGGGGGCGGGCGGTACGGGGTCGAGGAAGGACCAGGAGTTTGTGCGGGTGTCAAAGACCCAGACGCGGCCGGCCTCCTCGAGGGGTGTCATGTCTGGGCCGCCACGGCCGCCGTAGAGGAAGACGCGGCTGCCAATGACGGCGGTGGCATGGCCGACGCGGGGGCCCGGGACGTCGCCGAGGAGGGGGGGTTCGGGTAGGGCGGGGCCTTTGCCTTTGTCTGCCGCCGTAGGCGCACTTGTGGTCTGCTCGCCAGCTCTGAGGGACGAGTATTCTTCTCCTTCTTCTCCGGCGACGCCTGGTGAGGCGAGAGACACCTCGTCGAGGAGCTGTTGCTTCAGAGCAGCCTTCTCCTCGACGTCGTCGCCGGACGCCTCAGGCTTCTCGTCGTCAATCTTCTCCTCCGTCTGCGTCGTGGTGGGCTCGGGGTCGGCGGGCGGGGTATACTGCTTTGCTGGGGCGGAAGTGATCTTGTAGTAGTCGGCACCGGCGCTGTTATAGGGAAGCCTGATAACGTGGACGTCGTTGTCGACGGGTTCGCGGGGGTTGACCTCGCCGCCAAAGACGTAGGCGGAGCCGTTGACGACGTTGACAGTGTGGGAGGAGCGGGCGAGAGGCGGGACGTCGATTCGTTCCCATGTGCCCTTCATGGGCTTAGAGCCGGTGCCGCTGGACAGAGACGGCCTCTTGACATTGGGCATATTGGGTAGGTTCTGCGGGAGAGACTGGAGTATCTCGGTCGTCCGCCGCTTGAGAGCTCCAAAAGACTCCATGATTGCTGTCTGGCGCTGCTTCAGGGTATGGAATATCGTATGCCAGATGATTAAGAGGAAGGAGAGAAAAGAGTGTGGGGAATTGGGTCGAGATGAAGTCGGGTTTGTATGCTGACTGTATTTGCTGATGTGATGTTCGAGGATTGGCCTTAATGATATGACGTAGCGAAGCGGTCCTCTACTCAGCTCAGCTCAGCTCAGGGTGCCTCTTTTTTGGTGGGTTGTAAGCGGGCAGTGTAAACAAGCTCCGGATGCGGATCGAACGGCGATGAATGGGTGAAAGAGGGAGCAAGAAGGGCAATGGAAGGTAAGGCATATGCTGGCCCAACAGATGATATGGGAGATGGATAATTGGCAAAGAGAATTTCCCCCTTTCTAAACTATCCAAGGTAAGGCAGGTTGCCATCTCGTTCTCTCGTATCACACAGGCGCTTGTTGCCAACGGCGCGGGCTTTGTGCGATGGAGGATGGCTCAGCTTGCAGAGGGAAGCGGGGAGCGGGCGCAGGCTTCCAAGAGCTACCCGTCCTGTTCGTCCTATCAGGGATGTCAGACGCACGTCTGCGGTGTATCTTAGCGGACGGAGCCAGGCACCTAGAGGTCGGCAGTGCTGCTGGTGGGGTTTCGTCGCCGGATTCTTAGCAGGGGACCTCCCGTTTTTGGGGGTTCGCTGGTAGGAAGAGACCCTGATTCTAGGTGTTCCTCGGAGAACCAAGTTGGAATTGGGACTGAACGGAAGTGTACAGTCAGCCAACAGCCAACCTGTTTCGACCCGGGCAGCGATCCTTGGCTCTCGATCATCGCCGGGGAAACATACTCATCAAAACATGTTTCGCAAACTTTACAACAATAGCCCAGGGCATCCTTTTGTTGATCTCCGGACTCATGGCAGCCCAACCGGGAGAACACCAATGGTGTCACAACATCTCCCCTCTGAACACGACTCAGCATGATCCCACCTTGGCCCCTCAATAGCTATATATTGGAGACGGCGATGCCCAATCACGAGCTAATCCCATCGACAAACGATGGAATGCCTTACAGGCCACCCGTAACCAGCAGATATAGATCCCTCGTATTGCTCGTTTCTTGCATTCACTTTTGAGATTTGCGGGCCCCTGTACACCGAAACCGCCGAAACATCAGGCACAGGCCATTTCTATCGCTTTGTTCCTCACCTACCAGCAGCATGTGGTCATTATCTCAACATTCGCTCTTTGGGGAGCTTCAAGGCAGTTTTTGATAGAGATATCCGGTTCGTTCGCTTGATCGTTTGACAGCTGGGCGCCTTTTCCTCACAATAACTACCTGCCTTAGGTAGGGAGAGAAACAAGTAAGGTCGGTGGGCAGGTATCATCTGCTTCGGTGCCTTCCATAAGATAACTTAAATACAAGGTAGGTGAATACAAGGTAGGTAGTCGCACCTGAAGTATGCCTGTCCGTCGGCTCTCCGGTCGGGGTGACCTCGGCCCCTCCGCGACAGCGACCACCCTGTTCCGCCGGGCCTCTTGATCCACACCAAATCCGGTCCCGCAACCCAGCGCGGTCCGGATCCCGGACTAGGAAAATGGCAATGCCGACACCGCGCCGTGACGATTCGGAACGTACCAAGTAAGCATCTAAAATCACCCGCTGGACCGAGAGAACCGGCTTACGTAGCTGCTTACCGTGGCGTTCTTCCTCCGAGAAGGATTCCGGCTGGATTCCACCCCCTGCTGTTCCCAACGACGCGTGACAGCTTGGAAGTGCAGTTTTGCCCCCTTCCTTCAAAGAAGCAGAGTGTTCCAGAGCCATGGTCCGTCTTCAGCTTCTAGGTCCGCGACCCTACCTTTCATCAACCACGATCTCGGTAGGGCTGTGGCGTGTTGGACGTCCAGGCTAGCACTCAGCTATGGAGGAATACGAACCACACTTGCGTAAGGCTGTCAGACCATCATTCAAGATAGAATCTGAGACCGAAAAGCCCCTTACATTGAACATAGTCATTGAAGAACATCGTCATCAGTAGAAGCCAAGGGGAGAAAGTAAGACCTGGAGGGCTGCATCCTATGCTGGAACACGAGGCGGCGTACAGTAGCGCAGCAGAGAGAGCGTAAATGCCGGCGCAGAGAGCCTCAGCCGCGAAAAGGCAACCTACCTACCTACCAGGCAGTAGACCTTTCCATTCCATCCAACTCTCCAAGGTCCAAAGCAGTAAGATGGCCGCCTCGCGCCGCCAAAGCTCTCACCATCGTCGTCATAGATCCCCAGCCCTGTTGGTTGTACCTTATTCTTGGGGGCCATGCCGCCATGCCATGCTTGCCATGATCACACACACACACACACACACACACCCCGATTTGCAACGTACCATCCATCGAGCGCAAAGCTACCCTCAAGAAGAAACACATCCGCGGCACTGCCCACGCATGGAAGGGGATAAAAAGAGCTCATCTAGATAAACGCTGCAGGCGCAGAGCCATCCATTTTGGAGCGCCGTGCTTGCATCGGTCGGCTAACGTACCCACCGTAGCAGCCGCCGCGGCGCAGTCACCAAAAGTGAAGAAAAAGAAAAGAGTAGAAGTCGCAGGATGCGAGATGCTCGTTTCGCTTCGCGCACTCGCGCGCGGGAGGGGGGTAGGTGTGTGCAAGGACTCAAGACTCACACCGTAGATGGCTGTCCGTTGCTGGCAGACCAGCCCAGCCCCCCAAAGCCGGAGAACCGTTGGCGGTACGCGAAAGAGCTGCGTTGCGTGGCTAAGCAGCCTCCCCCCCCCCCCCCGTCTCCGTCTTCGCATGCGGCACGCGGCGCGGGTGGGATAGCATGGCACGCATGGTAAGGTAAGGTAGGTAATCACTCTGTTCCATTCTCCGGGTGCTGATGTGTTCGATGGAGTTCAGCTTTGCATAGACCGGCCGGCCGGTGTGTCCAACGCGTACTAGTGCTGACGGCTTTTCGGTTCCGCCTTGAGGAGAGCGTGGGAGCTTCCCACGCTTCCCTCCCTCCCCGTCCCGTCTTAGCCCTCTCGGTCTCTGTCTCTCGATCCGTGTCTTGTCCTTTTTTTTGACCTCCGTGTCTCGTCTTCTCCTTTCCTCTACTACCTAGTACCTAGCGTTCCATCTTGGCCGCGTCGCTGCGGCCAACAGCCAACACCAGCGCGCAACCACCCTATGGGTGTCTGGTGGGGAAGAAATGCATAAACGGCAGAGAGAAGAAGAAAAGGGAATAAATCCGGGTTTTTAGATTGTAACTCCGTGTCTCGACACATTGGGGGCCGCGGGGAAGGCAACCGCATGTACTCTGTCTTGCCTCAACGTCTTACACATCTCACACCCCCCTCCTTCTCCCTACTCTTCTCTCTTCCCCCCGGTCTTCCTATTCCTACGGATGCTCTTTCGCCCTTGGCGAGCCCTACGGATTATGGGATGAAAGGAATGGAAGCGAAGGAATGCATGTCAGAACTTAGATCGATGGGCGATGGACGATGGGCAATGGGCAGCCCAACACGCGCGGCGGGTACGGCTACTTGCCTTCCTACCTCTATCTTTACGTACACCTCCCTAAGGTACCTGCCTACCTACTGCTTCGTTCTACCTCATAGGTTCAAGTTCATTCATAGGAACGAGAGAAGGATCCGGAACAGTTTCCTCATGCAGGAGAGGGCGAGCGTAAGGTACCTCCGTACAGTCCTACAGCCAACAGAAGAACAAGTCAGCATTCTACCTACCCATCCTCAGAGGCTTAGAGTCGTTCCCGTCCACCCGTTTCCTCTCCACCCTCCGTCCCCATCCCTTACGTCGGACGTGTCGATTAGCGCCCAGGGCGGAAAGCTGGGCTGGACTGGGCGGGGCTGGGAAACCAACTTGAGCCGCATGACTCGGGGTTTCGCTGGATGCCCACCCAGCTCCGGTTCTCCCTCCCAGTGAACGGACCGGTCGCACGCTGTTGGTGTAGTTGTAGGTAGGTGTGGTTTGTGGGATTCTAGTGTGGGACGTGTGAAACTGTGTATAGTGGTGTAAGTGGTCATCGTGTCGTCGTGTCGTCGTGTCGTCGTGTCGTCGTGTATGTCGAGTGGGCGAGCAAAGACGATAGAGCCTCACGGCTGGTTGCTGCCGCTGCCGCTGCCGCTGCCGTTCCCCTCGAACAGCCGCTGGTCAGGCTAGGGGTTTGCTCCAACACACGCCAGCCGAAACTCATGGTTGAAGCAGCCACAGGCGCGTAGACGGGGAGGTACTGGAGGCTGGCGGCTCGGTCGGTATAGAAGCGCGCCTGAGTTGGTTGCTTGGCCGCATCGTGGGAGGACTCTGCGACGGAGAGTTGCAGCGCGGCATTGGGGACTGGACTAGGATGGTATCCTGTTGCATAGATCACGGGGGGAAGAAGGTTGTCGTCTCTCCTGTGCTTGCCAGCTTCAGTTCTCCAGTGGGATTCGGGGTTATGGCGGTTTATTCGGAGCTCGGTGATCCTGTGAGACTGGCATCTCTCTTTTCGCCGATGGTGGCATAAGGTAAGTAGGTAGGTGACTAGTTCCTGCACTATGAGGGGAGAGAGCATTTGAATTGGAATGAGGGTACAGCAAATTGGTATCAATGCAGAAACTATCAAAAAGTGCCAAGTCATGACTATGGATTATATCCTGTTCTCGTTCCCGCTCAAGTATGCCGGCCAACTGTATATCCGCAAAAAAGAAAAAAATGAAAGTCTTTTTCATCAAGTCGCATTACTCCTTCGCGAACTTCCTGATCGTAGAAGCAGAAAACTCCGGCCGTGGAAGGCCAAGCAACTAGAATGTAAAAGAAAAGGTATCTAAAAAAAAAAAAAAAAAGGAAAAAAAAAAGGAAAAACTTCAATGAAAACATGAACAAGCCTTGAACTACCGAGATGCCACTTTGAACAACTCTAAAGTAGCAAGTAACGTATAGATGATCAACAACAACCATGAAGACTGGGTGACGGAGTGTAAATCACTCTTCGTCCTCACCCTCAGCATCTTCATCGGAGCAGACTGCAACAACAATTTCCTTGTGAACAGTTGAGTTTGTGACGGTGCTGCTGCTCCCCTTGCCGTTGCCAGCAGAGGGACCAACCTCTCCCTTGAGCGGGTTAATGAGTTCCCATTCGGCTGTCATGTTTCGTGTCCGCCGGACAACGTAGACATCAGCGCTGGAAGCCCATTGTGTGAGTGTAAGGTCGTGCTCTCCGCCAAAATGGACCATAGGCTCCTTTCCCTCGGCGGCGCGCTCGAGGTGTCGCGCAACGTGCTCCATGCGTTCATCCCAAGCCTGGGGTCCGTTGAAGTCGTGTCCGCAGTCGGCAGCGGGACAGCGCATATATCTCGGAAGATCGCAGCGAATCTTCTCCGCGTCCGTCTGGAGAGCCTTGAGATTCTCGTCCCACTCAGGGGTGGGCTTCTTCTGCTTCTGGGCCTTCCGTACATGTGGCGGCACATGCATGCGGCGAACGTGTTGTGTGTAGAGATCTTTGCGGTTGAAGATGGCGCCGTTTGGTAGAGCGGGTGGCGTTGGTGTGACGGAGCAGGAGGAGGAGGAGGAGGAACGTCGGTTGGTGGGAGGGTTGGTAGTTTTGGAGCAGCCGTCTTGCTCGCAGAGCCAGTACTGGAGAGCCAAGTGTTGAGAGCTTACGTGACGCTTCCATTCGTTCTTGCTGGCAAACGTGGATGGGCAGCCAGCGTAGTTGAAGACGCACACAAAGGGGCGGGTATGATGTTGCTTCATGTGCTTCTGGTGGGTGCTCTCGTCGGAAAAGGGGGTGTTGCACTCTTTGCAATGGATTTTGGGGTTCCTCATCGACGAAAGTGTTGCGTTTAGTCTCGTTGAAGATAGACTACCGATGTCGTTGTTAACCTTGGACCGCTTTCGTTCATGAGGCGAACCGGAGGGGCGAGCCTGAGATCTGGCCGTGGTATTACGGGAACGTTTTCTCGAAGGCTTTGGCTTGTAGTCCAGGTCTTTGTCGTCGTCAACGGCAAGAGGCTCGGCCTTGATCTCTGGTTCAAAGATATTTGTACCGTTCGATTCAGGATCAGGGTAGTTTGGATGGAATGGTAGGTCGGCCATGGTTGCCTCCTGCTTGATGACGGGCTCTGGGGTGATTTGCCGTGACGATAAAGTTGAGTGCTGGGCGATACTGGCCTCATCAGACTCTGAGCAGCAGAAGCTGAAGGTTGCAGTATCAAAGCTCGTTGGGACTACCTCCTTCTCGAACATGTCGTTCACTTCGTAAGGATTAACACAAATATTCCCTTGCATATTCATTCCAAAGAGCGTCTGGGACTGTAGTTGGGGTTCCCAGTTTCCAAAGACCTGCTTATGCTGCAAGAAAGGAGAAGTGGCTGAGTGGTCCGGAGGAGTTGCGGGTAGGACGTCACTCTCCGTGGGTGGGCTATGGGAATCACTGCTGGACAGCGTCTGCTGAGAACACGGGGAACCGTGTCTCCTCTGTGAAGCTGGAGGTAGAGGGTTTGACTCCTTGGTAGATTGGCTTACACCGAGCAAAACTGGGGCATTTTCATGGACGAAGAAGGCTGTTCGTGGTCCATCCATGTATTGTTGAATCTGGTGGGTTTGATGTGTCGGCCATGGAGTTTGGCATTGCGAATGGGAGAAGGATCCAAGGCTAGGGTCGACTGGTGTCGGGGAGCTCGAGGTTGTTGAGCTTCCAAAGTAAGCCATGGGCATCTGGCTGTAACTCTGTTCTTCGTAGTAAGGTACCTGGTCTTGGGTAAAATGTCCTCCATGGACATTGTCATAGTAATAGGCCATGTTGCGTGCTTGCTCAAAATGGAAGATCCGAGGTTCCAGTGGTAGTTAACTCCGACGGGCCAGGACAGAATCCCGAATATAGACCTTCTTGAAAGGGAAAATGGTAAGGGAGTATCCCAATGGAAAGACGTTGTAGTGTTGATCCGATCGTACTAGGTAATATATCCAAGGCTAGACCAAAGGGTTGTTGATGTTGGAAAGTTGACGGATGTGCCGCGGACTAAGACGAAAGGACGAGGCAGTTATAAGTGAGTGAACAATGCAACAAGTGTAGGAATCTAGAGAGTTGATGCTTCCGTGCTTGGTCTGAACAGCAAGAGACACGATAATGTCATCGGAGAGCGACCAGCGTGGCGGAGCTCGATGTATATAAGTCAATGAGGTGGGTTGACATATCGGTAGCACAGGGGATGCGGCAGGGCAGTCGCCTAGGCGCACCCAGCTCCAAAAGCTCTGGGAGAGCACTGGGGAGAGCAAGAAACCCCGTGAGAACAGGTACGTATTTTTTGCAGAGCCTCATGTGGGCCAGCGAGGAGTGCGAGAGGGCAGATTGAGAGACGAGGAGGAAGAGGCAAGGATTTGCGGTGGAGGGCCATCATCATCAGGCGCTGCAGAGCGCATATGCACACCCCTGGAGCCAGGACTGTGGCAGGGAATACGTGTGGTTACGGGCTGGCACACCATCAGGGACTAGTCTCTAGTGGCTGCAGCAGATGTATGTATTTTTCTGTATAAAATTATACAGTTCTGGTCTGGCTGGTCCAGCTCCGCTTTGGGGGCCGGTTCGCGAACCACTGTCCGGTCAAGGGTGGCAGATGGAGGGTGGTGTTGAAAGAGAGAGGACGAGGGGAGCCGCCAGGGCTGCGGCTGCGCCTGGTTCGGAAGACGAACCCACGGCCAACGGGACGGGTAGCTTCTGAGCTTGCCTCTGATGGGTTGATTTCGCCATGGCATCCGTTGCCTCCAGGCAGATACCACTGGGTTGCCTTACTCGAAGTTGCCTTGTCTCTGACGAATGGGGATTGACTTCAAAGAACCATCACCGAAGCTCGTCAGCGAATTGCAGTGTCAGTGTCTGCGAGTCGACCCAAGTTGACAACGCAATCCTCGACAGATGGGTCAACAGTTGCGAGACACACTGTCTGTCCCAACCCTTATTTTGACTGCCTCAGCCGCCGCCACAAGGAGGTTGTGTCTGTCAAGAGAGCACTGCGGACGTCACTGATGATCCTTGTTGGGGATGGCCGGTCAGCTGTGTTTCTGTGATATTGGCACTTGGACGTGCTAAGTCGGTCCTCCACAGGCCAGGTAGTTGATCCATTTCAGCAAGTCTGAGCTAGGGGGTTGAATTATGTCGAGCAAGATTTGCATCTGTACGACGTCCTGCAAGTGTCGGACCCTCTCGATCTCATGGATGACGGTCCGGGTCGAGAAGCTGCTTGGCTTGCTTGGATAGCGTCAAAGGGGTTCAATAGGTAAGACGTGGGAAGAAGGTGTGTGCCGGGTGTTCCGTTGAGGAATGAGGAATGAGGAGTCGGTCGAGACTCGAGATACTTGGCTTCTCCGCAACACCTTTACCAGGTAATCGAAGACATCCCTGACTGGCCAGATGGCGAGATGAATACCGAGCAAAGGTCTCAGGGCGGCATAGAGGCCATGCGCCAGGTGGTCATATCCCCATTTTCCTTGGAAGTGATGAAGGTACGGAGATTGACAAAAGCAAAAATGACGGAGCAGGGGAGAGATGATGGGCGAAGAAGGTAGCAGGGACCGCGCACTCGCGCAGGAGAGAAACAACAGGGGAGTGAAGTTGGAATGGGAGATTCTAGACAGCGCTTGGCCAGGTCATGTCTCGGATTGGAGGATGTCAGAATGTCAGAATGTAAAGCTGCCGTAGCACGTAGCTGGTTTGCCTTGAGGTGGTCGGTCCATGGTTGAAAGTGACGGATACTATGAAGGTAGTGTAGGATGGTGTCTAGGGGCCCGTTGCGGTGGAGAGGAGCGGACAGGAGTCTACTGTGGTACCACTCCACGTAGGTAGGAGGAGCATTGGTAAGTTGACGGGTGGAGGAGGGATGGGGCAAGACGGAGACGGAGGGTGGAACGGACGGAGCCTGGTTGCGTGTGATGAAGATAGAGAGAGAGAGAGAGATAGAGAGAGAGAGAGAGAGAGAGAGAGAGAGAGAGAGAGAGAGAGAGAGAGAGAGAGAGAGAGAGAGAGAGAAAGGAAGAGAGACATTCGGAAATCCAAGACTCAGGAGAGACAGACAGAAGGAAGTACAGCCTAGGATACGTATCAATACCTAGGTAGGCCTAGTCTATAGTAGCCATCGGAAGGTATTCACACACCTACAGGCGCAGACGTATGGTAAGGTAGCGATTGCGCGGGTTGAGGGTAGAGGGTTGACAGCAACTGAGCGCAAGGTATCGCATCGCGCAGCTGCGCGAGAGTTCCGCTTGACGTGTCCTGGCCATTGGTCCCACGGACCCATGAGGCATACCTACTCCCGAAGAAGGCGACCGCAGGCTGACTAGCGCAAGTCGCAAAAGGACTGGGCATATGAGTGAGTGGTGAAGGTGGGGGAGACACTGAGCGAGATGGGAAGAGGATCGAGGGATTCGAGAGAAGACAGTCGAGCAGAATTCCAGATACGGACCCCACCTCACCGTCGATGGCTCCATGAGTCCCTTACGATGTACTGCACAGTAGTGTATGTGTTTCTTTCTCCCTCCATGGGGGCCTGTAGACGAAAGATGGCGCCTTCATCGATGCAACTTGTTCGTTGCCTGGAGTATTGGATACTGCCTTAAGGTATGGGAAGAAGGTATCCGCGTTTACTCAGCAGGTACGGAGGAGGTAGTAATGTATTGATTACCTGCGAACTGATGGGCAGGCTTTACGTAAGGCAAGGAAAGTGAGCTAAGCAAATGCTACGCAGCGTGACAGCTTCCTTCACTAGATATCCACGCCTGCCACGGACCTTACACAGTAGTTGCCCTGAACCTCAATGCTTGCCGTCAGCCACTGGGCAGAAAAAAAAAACCTTTCCCGACATTTCCTCCCCTCACCTCTTCCCGTCCTCACATCGCAACGCAACGCAACGCAACGCAACGCAAATCCTACAACCCGCCAAGGGTGGGTTTTGTGTAACAGTAACCTCCAAAGCCCATCCTGCCATTACCACACGGTCCACGCCACCATCTGGCACCCACTCAATCCCTCTTTGACTTCGTTATCATTGAGGACGGGACCGTCCCGCAACAAGCTCCATCCCACATCTACATACCCTGCCCAGCGCCTTGTACGGCAAGCCATTCGGCCAACGGGCTTACATACACTGGCACGACTGGGAGGTCTGGGACTGATCCCAGTCCTCCCTACCACCAGCACCCCGGTGCTCCTGGCTTGAACCTTGAAGCCGTCTCCACGTCCCACGAGGTCCAACTATCTGCCCGGATATAGCAAACCGGACGAACTGACGGATGGACGGCGCCACGCTAAAACGGACACTAGACGCAGATATTCGGACTGTCTTCCTGCCCCACAAACACCGACGACCCCCGAACATTATTGATATTGCCAACAACCCTGCCCGCTGGCTGGCTGATTGATTCCATCATCGCTACATACACCTTGAAACACACTTCCTATCACCGCGTAGTCTCCAAAATCCAAATCACAAGAAATGGAACCTCAGCTACCTTGCGCATCCCACCCCCGGGGTCCTTGGCTCCCGCTCCTCCTTGCCAACAAGTCATTACGACTCAGTGAGAGAACGTGGTTGGTCGTGTCTACCTCCCGGCTTCACTCGCCCAACGCGTCACATCCACAACGGAATCCACACCTTTTGGGGAATGGAAGCCTCCATATCCGTACACCCATTCACTGCAATCATGGCGTGAATCCACTTTCACGTCAGCACGCCTCTGCTCCTTTCAGAAAGAGCGAGTCTTGGCATCTCACAGGGCTCCAGGGTCCGCTTAACGATCGCTCCTTCGCTCCTGTTCCCGTCCTTGTCCCGTCCTCTTCTCCCAGTCAACTGGTATGCTACCAATACGATTACCGTTTATGGGTACAGTAAACGCACAATTGCACACGTTGTGCTCTGGCGCTGATTATCTGAAGATAATCCGTCTTCGCGTGTATGGACACACACATACCAAGAGACCAGCAACCATGAACTTGAGAAGCACACATCAGCACTCGACTGGGCAATGTGCGAATTTGTGAAGCGCCGGGGGATCGAGACCCCTGGCTCTTTCGGATTAACCTGTCGATCTCTCGTGGGGACTCGACCGACATCGCCGAAGACGAGTATTAGTACGAGAGTACGGAGGAGGAGTTTGCTACCCTCGAGAGAGCTTAAGCGCACCAGAAATCAGAGCGCTTGCTCGTGGATTTGACCGTATGATGGCACGCCATTGCCCCCTTCCTCCTTGTTCCTTGTCCGGATCTGCTGTCTCACCAACAGTAGCTAGCCGAGCAGTTTGACTTTCGTCAAAATCGTTACCTCGCCGATATGCAGCTTTGCGGGAATTCTATTCAAGGCCTACTAGGCGACCACTTGCTCGGAGATTCCTCCTAGGTATCGTCCAGAGCATTGTCAACTTTACTTGCCTGCCGGGGCGGCAACAAGAGATGCAAGGTTAGGGGTTTCTGAGTCTGTACGGATACACTACGGATACTCAGTGGCTTCATCTCCCATCTCAGGGCTCATAGGCTCCTCTCCACTGTCTCCAGACCCCAACATCTCGAACAAGGATGGCACGGCACAGACTTCATTGGCCGGCCAAGCCAAAGCTGAACACGAAATCACTACTCCGTAAACCACTGAAATCCTCCCCAGACATCAACCATGTCAAGTCGCAACAGGAGCCAGCTCCGCTGGATCCTTGTTTTTGCATCCATATTGCATCGTTACACAAGTATCCGCAGACAAATTTCAAAAAATGAGCCCGCCCATTCCTCGGCCTCGACGCTTCGAGAAGAGGCAATGAGCCCTGTCTGTCAGATTCGCGGCTGTTACATCAACAATTATCGGGGGGCTCACAGTCCAAGCAGATCGCGCCTTCGCAAGTCTATCATGAAGCCATGTCTTGACTCTTGAATCCTCAATACACGCGGGTCTTGCAGCATTGTGCGCGTGAGTTGCATGCGCGAGTTTGGAGGACTGGCGCAATTCGCGCAAATACAAGTGTTGTTAAACTGGCGCGGAGTGCGCGGCAATTCTATTCCTGTACGCAAGACTGCGTGCTTTACACCAGTCGACGCCATTAACGCCAAAGTCCTCTTCCAGGGCCCTGCTCGCTAATTAGGCATCGGGATTTTGAGACCTGCTTCTTTGATTCACCAACCCCTTGCCTCTCAAATCGGCAGATCAGAAACGAGATAGATCTTGGGCAGCTCTAATCACTTCTACTCGGCAAGGCGGAGTCGTGTTGGTGGTCAAATGTTCTGTTATGAAACGATCTGCAAGCATCTACGGGGAAGGATTCTCCCAAAGGAGACAACACGCCCGTGGTGGTACCAGCTTGTTGGTCCAGGACTCCAGTACAGCGTCGACAGATGATCCAGATCGAGGCCTTCGTGTAAACTTTGCGTTAACGCTCTCAAGGGTTTTTTATCGTCTCATGGTTCTCTTCATACTTGCCCCCTGCAGATGGCCTGACCAAAGTTGGTCCTGTAGGGTTTCTCTCAAGGCCCATTACAAAGTAGGATCCCCGTGACATTCAAAACTCGGGCTTCTTCCGGGGTCAAGATGTGCCTAGTCTTTTTGCGGCCGCCGATAAATGATTAGTAGATGGTGGCATGCGAAGTTGGGCCAGCTCACGATGGCACATTAACAAGAAGATACCCACCGTCATTGCGTGAGTTTGTTGGATTCGGATCGGCGGGATCCATGACAAGAGCTGAAATATCTAGGCTTGCTATTGATAGTCCGGGGACTGATCTTTCTCTAAACTAGCTTTAGAACAGCATGGTGACAGCAGGTCAGTACCAACCCTCGCGTAGCGCCCAACACGGTGATCGCTTATTGTCTCGGGACTGCATATTGTTGGTCCAGGCCTAGGTCGACCAACAATATGCAGTCTATAATTGTACTGATTGGACGGTGGTATCGCCTACCATCTACGGTTACTGCGAATACTGTGCTCACTCATTCTCAGCTGTTATCTGGTTGTCGGAAACGATCCTGCGACCATATTTGACCAATATCAGAGCGTACGGCCGTTAACTCTACCCAGGTTCTCAGCAGCTCCATCGCGTGACTGAGATGTGAACAGTCGAATCAAGGTAGCCGCCAGGATACAGAAAGCGAACTCTTTCCTACGTACATCCAACGTTCCTCCATCGACTCAAGGTCCTCGATTCCTTTTCCCCAAACGACCAGCGAGCCACCCCGAAGCATGAAGCATTGTGACGACACACGCACATCCCTACTAGATCTAAGCCCAGGGCTGAGAAGACTTCGGGGGAGATGAGAGGAACCAAGTGAGCACAGCCACGTCTTTCCATCTTCCACGAGGCGTGTTGCATGTACATCATTGCCGTCCCCTCCTCCTCACCCCCCTTGCCGTGGCTGTTTGCTTGCTGCTTCGGACTTGTCTGCGCCTTCTCAATCTTCAACCTTGCCCTGCCCTTGCCCTGCCCTGCCCTGCCTTCGCCATGTCTTTGGCGGCTGGCGCCCCCCTTCTCTCTCTCCACCCCCCAAGCTTCTTCATGTTACACAACGTGGGTCACTGCTCCAGAGTCCATACAGGACAGTGGTTCGACTTTTGTATTACGGGCCAATACCGGGCTGTTTGCTCCCGCCGAGGCTGGGCCAGCCTGTCTTGTGGCCCCCAAATATATGGAGGCCCGGGGAGGGAGGGCAGCACGGATGACGGGTAGGTTATCTTTACAAGGTGTACCTGGCATGTTTGGATGATGGAGGAAGGGAAGGGGGGAGAGGGGAGGCGCAAAATGAGACCTGTCCCGAAGAAGTCGTGTCGTGGGTGTCAGAGGTGAAGAAGCGTAAGATCTACAGGAGATGGAGGGGGTGTCTATGACCTTTGTTCCCAGCGGTAATGGTGGCGGTGGTGGTGGTGGTGGTGGTCAAACCAGTCCTACGGAATCGGAGCAACGTGTGAGTGAGCAAGGGGTCTGGGGTCCCGGACGGGAATCCGTAGGAACGAAAAGCGCCGCATGTTCCAGTGGGCGATGGGCGCACGCAGCCCTTTTCTTTCTTGACACGGAATCTCGTCGGGAGAAAGCAAACATTTCAATTTACTCCGTACCCAAAGCCCAGGTCCCGGGAACCGCTTGCCGTCGAAGAAAGGCCCGACGTCCCTCTACGGGATCTCTGCTTCTACTGGCTTCTTGGGCCATACCCCTGAAGATTCTTCGGCGTCGGCCGCTGCGGGACATTTTGGAGTTCGTTTGTACCTCATTTGCTAGCACTGCGATCAAGTGCTTGGACGAGGCCCAAGAAGGAAGAGAAAGAGGAGGACATCTCGGTAAGGAGCTAATGTCTGGTTCCAGGGGTTCTGCTTACTTACATGGTTATTAGTTCTTGACATGTACACACGTAGACAGACAGAACACATATGCCGTTGCCAAAGGCATGGAAGCCATATGACCGTGTGATAGATAATCCCTGAAGGAAATAAAGAGCTGACGATGAACGGAAAACTCGGCATGGGCAAAGGGTGCAACGTTTGATAAGTTGCTGACTGTGACATTGAAGGTAGGAAATCATTGCTTGTTGATAGGCGCTACCCGAGACGCCGTTTTATGCCATCCCCTCTTCTCAACTATAACGAGGTAACTTGAAAAATCCAACGCAGCCAAACATCAGTCCCAAAGTTTGGAGCCTGGCCAAATTGAAGCAAAAAGGGGGAATCATTGTCCATCGTGGAGCACTTCCATCGCATGTCATCCTTCGCCCTACCATCATAACTCCATGTCATCCATTACAAAACATTGCGTCAGCGCATGCCTCTCAGGGGTCGCTTTTTGCTGTCGTGTTCATGGCCTTCCAATGTCTCTACACCTGGTTCGAGCTGTCGCCGGTGCTGTTGGCGTCCCTGTCTTCCTGAATCTCAACCCACTCCCCACTGCATTGACCACAACGCACGTGAGAGCAGTTCACACAAGCCGAATGCACTTTATGGTCTGCAGCCCATTTACACGAGCACTAGACGTCATGTTAGCATATCTTGAAAGGCCAGAGCGAAGAAGTCTCAGGGTCACTCACGCATTCCCACATGAATGTCTTCATCCGCTTACGGCCGGGCTGCTCGGCGCTATCGTCCAGGCCCCTCTTTCTTGACTGACGGTTGACACCTCTTCCATTAATCGTCGACTTTCGTGAGCCAGACATGATTACAATGTCATCGGCCGAGTCTGCATCACTCAAGTCGTCCGAAGATCCGATGACGTTGACGCCTGGCGAGTCAGGATCGACAGCTACCCACTGGGAGTGGTCCTTCTTGATTGAGCCGTCACGTCCAGCGTAGTGGTTGTCAATATGATCGAATCTTTCGGCCCAGGCGTTGGCACCCTTTCTGTTGATGTCGACGATCTTGACACAGAAGCCACACCAGAACTTCGGTTCTCCGTTTCGTCCGACGCGACACTCCTCGAGGACCTTCTCGATATTGGAGGAGTCGTCCATCTTGTGTTCCTTTTGAAGATGACTTCGGAAAGTTTCCCGACGATGGCAAACCTTGCCACAACTCTCATTGTCACCTTCAGACCGTTGTTCGGAACACTTCCATACCTCAAGCTGGAAATGCTGGCTGTTCTCGTGACGTTTCCAGTCATTTTTGCTGCCGAACTTCTTCTTGCAACCGGCAAATGTGCATCCATACGGCTTTTCGTGACGCTTCATGTGCTTCCTATCCCTTGGTTAACAGCCGATACATGTGGAATGACAGGAGTAATACGCACTTAAGTTCACACCTGCGGTTGAACACTTTATCACAGGCAGGGTCTGAACACCGATGCTGGCCGTCAGCACTGCCGTTTGTGTTCGGTGTGGATCTCTGGAGAGGCGTTTCCATCTGTGCCTTTATAAATGTCTCAATGACGGTTTTGGGC